ACTTCTAGGAAAACACAACCTAGTGACCTAGACCTAGGATGCAAAATCCAAGAACTAGTCTCATTACAACTAGGAGTTGCCTAAACCAATGAACAAGCCTCCCAAAATCCCTTCCATCCCTTTAGAATTCAAACAAATCTTAACCTTTACATCCATATCCAACTAAGGGACTGTTAGGACTTTTTGCCTCAAAGGTTTGTCTATAAATACCAACACACCCCCTAGCTTGCAAACACACACAACACACTCACTCATACACACATTTTGGTTAAAGAGAGGGAGGAGAGAACGAAAGAGAAGTCTAGAGGAGAAAAAGGAGGAAGAAGAGAGCTTCTTGTGCAAAGCTTAGTAGATAAGCCACACACACAACCTTCTCTTTCATTTTCCTTTTTTCAATACATATTTATAAGGGTTCTAAATAATGTTTTCAGATCTGTTATTAATGAGTTCTTATGTTAAAAATGCTAAGGGTTGAGTATGGATTCCATCTCTCTAGTATTTTCCCCATTTTGGCACAAAACCATCTTTTTTATACCAATCTCTCAACTTTCCAAGGGCACTCTTTCAAGAAAATTTTTTGAGTTAAATATATGTTAGTTAGCATGTTTTCTTCACAAAAGAAATGGAAACTTTCCCTTGGTGGAATCCTTTCCTCATAAAACCTCTTGCTTTGGGCATAGTACCTTAAAATCTGTTTTTGCAGCCCACTTCCAGAAATTCTAGAAAAACTTAAAAAATTATTGTGGACCTCTATTTTATGTCAAAACCTTCCGTAAGATGTTATCTTTCAACTAAAATTGGTTTCATCGAATTACATCAAGCGGTTTGCAAGAAAATCAAAATTTCATAACGGTCGACGGATCTGGACAAATTTTGGACAGCGCTGGAATATTTTGGACAGATTTTGGACAGCGCTGGAATATTATCCGAAATAATCTCATTCAGGACCCCATAACGACAGATAATGTTGTTCCTGATGAACTTAGCAACGTGCGATGCCTTCAACACAGCGTAAGATTGGGCCTCAACCCACTTCGTAAAGTAGTCTATCGCTACCAGAATATACATATGCCCGTTGGACCCCTTCGAAGTGACAGCCCCAATCACATCAATTCCCCAGACTAAAAACGGCCACGGCGAAGTCATGCTGTACAGCTTCGACGGCGGAATGTTCATGCGGCTTGCATGGATCTGACATTTGTGGCATCGGCGAACAAAGCCAATACAATCCTTCTCTATGGTTGACCAATAATAACCTTGTCTAAGGATCTTCCGGGCTAGCATCACCCTGCTCATGTGTGCTCCGCACTCTCCTCCGTGGATGGCCTCTATCAGATGCTTGGACTTCTCAACATCAACACACAACTTATGCATCCCGAGATGACCCCTTTTGTAATGTTTACCCCTGCAGATAATGAACTGAGCAGCCATTCTTCGAATTGCCCTCTTATCTTTGGCATTTTCCCCTGGTGGATAAGCCTCATTTTCCAAGAAGTTTCAAATGTCATAATACTAGGGGTTTTGATCTTGTACCTCATCTATGGCAGTAATCAGCTCGTAGGCCGGCACAAATTTCTGTTCAATGATGATTGGACGCATCCGAACTCCAAAAGGGATGTCTACCATAGAAGATAGAGTTGCTAATGAATCTGTGAACCTGTTGTTCTCTCTTAACAGATGAGCGAAGTTCAGTTTTTCAAACCGAGGAATCAGAACGTCCAAGGTCTGGTGATAGATTCTCATCTTTTCTTCTTTAACTTTCCAATCTCCTTTAGCTTGAGATACAACAAGGTTCGAGTCCCCGATGACATCCAGCCATTTTGCTCCTAGTTCTAGGGCAGCTTCCAGTCCAGCAATACATGCCTCATACTCTGCTTCATTATTTGATACCTTGAACCAAAGCTTGAAGGCTAAAGGTATGTGGGAATTGTCAGGTGCTATCAGCAACACCCCTATCCCATAGCCGTACTAGTTTGACGCTCTGTCAAAGTACATAGTCTAGGTTTCTTCTTCGACATGCAGAATGGCCTTATTTGGAAATAGATATTCAACTGCTTCATCTCCCTCTACTGGGTGGTCGGCTAGGAACTCCACTACAGCTCTCTCTTTCACTGACTTGCCCGTCATGTACTTCAAATAAAATTCAGAGAAAAGAAGCAACCAACGGGCTAGCCTACCCGTAAGTGCTGGATTCTCGAAGAGATATTTGATGGGATCTAATCTCGAAACCAGTATTACAGAGTGAGCTAACAGGTAGTGCCTCAACTTCCTGGTAGCCCATACCAAGGCCAGACAAGCCTTCTCCAGCGACGTGTAGCGGGTATCATATTCTAGCATTTTCTTGCTCAGGTAGTAGATAGCCTTCTTCACTTTGTCCTCAGACTCCTGTGCAAGCATGCAACGCATTGTCATTTCGGTTAGTGACAGATACAATATCAATGGTTTCCCCGGCTCAGATGGCGATAACACAGGTGGGTTCTGTAAATATTGCTTGATCTACTCGAAAGCAACCTGGTATCGGTCGTCCCATTGGAACTTCTTTCCTTTCTTCAGGAGACCAAATAGTGGTTCACAAGTCAAGGTTAATTTTGCAATAAACCGTCTTATGAATTGCACTTTACCCAGAAAGCCTCGCACCTCATTTTCAGTCATCGGTGGTGGCATTTCTAAGTTGGCCTTGATTTTGGAAGAATCAACGTCGATACCCCTTTGTGTGATCAAGAACCCTAGTATTTTCCCTGCTATAACACCGAAAGTGCATTTCTGAATGTTCAGCTGCAATCAATACTCACTGATCTGCTTAAAATCTGTTTTTGCAGCCCACTTCCAGAAATTCTAGAAATCCCTGGACTTGACAATCATGTTGTCCACGTACACCTCAACCTCTTTATGGGTCATATCGTGCAAAATCGTGGTCGCAGCCCGTTGATAAGTAGCTATAGCATTCTTCAAACCGAGCGGCATCACCCTATAACAATAAGTTCCCCACGGGGTAGTGAAAGCAGTTTTCTCCCTATCTTTGGGTGCCATCAAAATCGGATTATAGCCTGAAAACCCATCCATGAACGAGAGTAGTGCATGCCCGGTAGTGAAGTCCACTAATTCGTCGATATGCGGTAGAGGAAAGTCGTCCTTCAGACTGGCTTTGTTCAAATCCCTGAAGTCCACACATACCCAAATTTTGCCGTATTTCTTTGGCGTCGGAACTATATTGGCCAACCAAGTTGGATACTCAGATACTAACAGGAACCCTGCGTCGATCTGCTTGGTGACCTCTTCTTTGATTTTCAGAGCCCAGTCCGGACGGATCCTTCGGAGCTTCTGCTTAACAAGTCGGGCCTCTGGGTCAAGAGGGATCTGGTGCTGTACAATCTCATGATCGATTCCAGGCATGTCTTCGTAGGACTACGCGAAAACATCTTTGAAATCTTTTAATAAAGCGACTAAGTGCCGGCGTTCCTCAGAAGACAATGTGGACCCGATCTGGACCAGTCGCGGGTCTTTCTCAGTACCAACATTAATTGAGGTGATTTCATCAACCAAAGGTTTACAAACCTCTCATGCTCTTGATCAAGCAAATATTTCAAAACCGGAGGAATTTCTTCCTCGTCGTTTTCATCAAAATTTTGAAAGTCTTGATTAATGCAATAAACAAAAGGCACAGAAATGTACTTAGAAGCCACAGCTGCACAGTTCTCATTAATAACATCCAGTCTGTCTGATGCTTCGGTTACAACAGACTAAAAGGAAAAAAAAAGACGACCTGGACAACACAGTGGCATCTCGGTTATCACCCCCACGAATACCTGACTCAGACTCAGATGGACTGGAATCTGATTTCAACTCCACAGACTTTGTGGAATCAGATTTCAGGTCACGATCTGACCTAGAACTACTCGATAAAAATCCCTCCTCGTATTGCTAGATGAGGGAAGGTGCGATGGAGGCATCGAGAATGCCTGAAGATGGGCCCACAGCCGCTTCATCCTCGATCATGGAAACTGAGAAGCTATCCCCCAAGCACTCAGGTATGATCTGAGGATCTGAGAGGAGACAAGCCAGTGCTACCCCAATCTCAATTTATGTGCTCTCGGAACCTTCCTTCTTGCACTACTCAGCCTTAGCTGGTGGGTCTGTCTCCTCTACGACAACTTCATCCCCTGACAACTAAAGATCAAAAAAGATTTCGAAGTCGGGAAAGCGCCGCTTCTCTGAATTCAGCCAGGGCTCCGAAAATCCGTAAAACGGGAAGTCTTCCCCCTCTTGGACAAAGCATCCGTTCAGGGTCCCCTAGATAGGTTGGTGCACCAACTCATAGTGCTTTCCGGCTTGCTTTGCCCTAGCTCGTCCGGCCATTTCGCTGCCTTTCCTCACCCAATCCTCTTTGGTAGACAGAAAACCTAAACCAAAGGTATATGGATTGTGTGGCACTTCGGCCAATGCTGCAACGCCCTTCCGGCACCTTCGCCCCAATCCCATCCCGGGCATGTACTGAAGCTTGTTCATGAGGTAGACAGATTGTGCACTGACGTATATCCCCTCATCAACAGCTAGCATATCCTGTAAAACCCGAGCCTCAGTGTCACGCCCCAAACCCGCCCCTAAAAGTTTGGGCATGACCCGTTTGAAAACGAACACTTAACCTGTAGTAAATAACATATGGGGCCTCATCGGAAGCATAAAGTAGGAAAATAACTATACATATAAATTCCATTGAGCTACATCTACATGCCAGGACCTCTTATACATCACATTCATCATGGAAAATAGATAAAGCTCCAAACCATATGTTGTAGCATCGGTGATAAACAACCATATGTACAGACCCAACCCCATCATTGGGCTTATATAAAAATCATTGAAGTTCTACCTCTTTAACTTTAAATGGGTAATCAAAATTAAGCCAACATTTCAGTAGACTTTACAAAAATAAAAGGTTTCGTGTAGCGCCCGAACCCACGAAGGTTGACAAAAGAAAACGGGTGTCATGACTAGGACTGACCACTTGGTTGGTTACCTACGGAAACAGACATTAGATAGAGTGAGCCAAGCTCAGTGAATAGTAATACATAAATAAAACGATGCTTAAATTGAAACATAACACATAGCAATGCATATAAAGATGTAGAGTTCACATAGTTAGTCTGATTCTGTGCTACGTACATAACGGCCTTAAGTTCAATCTTGCAACATAAACATGGTGGCTATAAGCCCTTGAAACATGGTGCACTAAGGCCCTTGAAGCATGTGGCATAAAGCCCTTGTAACATATGGCACTAAGACCCTTGAAACATATGGCATAAAGCCCTTGTAAAGTTGGCATGAAGCCCTTGAAAAGTTGGCATGAAGCCCTTGAAAAGTTGGCATGAAAGCCCTTGAAATGGGATAAGATGTCTGGAAAAGACTATTTTTAGTGAATCCAACGTTTGGTTGGATGGATTGGATAGGATAAATGAACAAAGGACTATTTTGCCCTTTTTTAATTATTTTCTAAGTAATAGCAATATTAAACATATCTTTAGGTCTCGTTTGGCAAGTGACTTTTTTAGCCAAAAATTCAAAAATGTACTAAAAAAAATAAAAAACCAACAATCTATACCAAAAGTCAAAGATCCTCTTTTCCCTCTATTTTTTGCATATCTTTTCGTAAAATGCTAAAAAGTTACTAAAATAATATGTTCCCAAACGAGGCCAACTCTACGACCTCTTGTTTATCAAACAACACTGCTACATTCCCTAATTTATCATCGTTAAATTATCTCTAATGATATGACATTAAGATTAGACACATCATTAGAAATAATTTTTAAAGGTGATAAATTAGATGTCTCAAGCATTTTTTGTTTATCAAATTACTGTACGGGACTGGGCTCGGGTCCGAGCCGAAATAGGTCAGGTCCACCTAGGGCCTTGGGTGACCTTCGGGTCGCCCACGGGTCTTGGGCCATTTTTACACCCCTATCAATGTCGAATGCATAACAATAAGCCACTCCGAAATCCAGCAAAACTTTAGGCCCAAGTTCCCTAAAATCCACCGATGAACACCTCTCTCTTTATGGTTGAAAGAATAAACTAAAACCCCTTAATGATTGTCAATATTTAATCTGTTGATCCATTGATCTCCCTCATCTATCAAGGAAACCAGTATATAAACAAACCCCAGTATAGAATACTATGGTTACTCTTCTCTTTGAGAATCTGGACGGGTTCAACCCTAAAATGAGCAAACGACACACCTTATCAATAGCATACACCTTTGTTTAATCATTCTTATATGTTAACATAGTTGCCTTGCCTTGTAATTAACATAGTCCTAATGGTAACTGTTACATCATTCCCATGAGTTGACATAATTAACGTAAAGTTAACAGGACATTCCTGATAATTAGTAACGAAAAGTAAGTACATTTTCATTAGATTATAGATGACTTTATTGGTTTCACAATTTCACAGTTCGGCCCTTGGCCTGAGGGGTTCACACAATCACAAGTTCCTTTGATGTTTTCATAATTCCATAATGTTTCTCACATAACATACATAACTTCATAAACTCTTTTGAAGTTTCCATAATATCACGGTATTTCTCACTTAGCATTCATAACGTTTATGTCAACATAATTCTTACGACGAAGATTTAACATCAATAACGATAAATGGTTAAAGGTACATCAAAGTACTACTACTCACAGTGATCGGTTCCCGGTGGTAATGGTACAATGTCCTCGTCTCGACCTACAATTACAGTGCACAACACATAATATGAGGTTGTACTCGATCCTTTACTTATTCTCTTTGATCATTCAATCAATTAGTCATGGTGGTACCAAGCTCATTATTCTTTAACATGTTGTAATCCATGTCTTAGAGAAACAGGAGAAATCGATAGGAAATGGTTTAGGTGAAGAAATGGTACATAACTAATTGACATAACGTGAACAGTCGTCTCTAATTTAGGTATAACTTTTTCTGTATTTAGAATTTGCGAGTGAGACTAGCTCCATCGGAAACTAGACTTTCGGGGCTTGATTTTAGGCTCAAGAATCACTCAAAATGGAGTCCGGATGCAAAAGATATACCTATTCAAAGTTGGCTGGACAGAGCTGTCTCCGCACGTGCGGGTGAACAGTGCCGCACGTGCGGCCCTGGACAGCAGCAGTCCGAAAATGGCTGAAATTGTGGGACTTCTCATTTTCAAAAATCAAACCTTAATTACATGTAAATCAAAGCCCAAAACCCTTTAATACATGACCAATTTCACATTATTATTCTTCATCAAACACTATAATCTCACAATAAACAAATTTAATGATTTTACTTCTTCAATCAAGGAATTCTTAGAAAATCAAGGTTCATGGGTTCAAAGCTCACATCTTCTATATCAATCCATGATTTCAAGTAGTAGATGGATTCTATACAAGGTTAGTAATTAGAGCCACATACCTTACCCAAACCTTTGTTCATCCCTTAGTCTCTTCAATTTTTCCCAAGCTTTTGGTTGATCTTTCCTCTCTCTTCTATCTTCTTCAACCATCTTCAAGATTCCATGGATGTTGAATTCCTTAGGGAGAAGCTTTGCCTCTTCTCTCTCTCCCTCTCTCTCTCTCACGGTTCTCCTTCCCCTTTCTCTAGATATTTTCATTTTTTGTTTGGTTCAAAATAGATGAGTTCAACAACTCATAAGGCATATATGCATATATAAAAGCTTCCCACAAATAGGAAGGGCCAAACACGCCCTTACGAATCGCACAAAATCACATTTCAATTAAACTTCCCAGATAACTCTAAAAATTATGCTGATCATAAATACGTCCCCTGTTCCGGTATCTGAAGTCTTTAAGGCCTTTAAATTGCAGTATAAAGTTAATCACCCAAACGTCCATTAACGAATCAGATAAATTAGATTTCAAATTCATTTTCCAAAATAATTCCAAAAATTCCCATTAACATATCCAAGTACTTAATTTTGATTTTTGAACCCATAAAGGTCGGTAATTCCCATTTTAAGTCCGTAACTCAACTGATAATGCTTCAATTCTAATAGATATAATTAAATTAAACCACATCATTTCATAGGGAAATAAAGATGATTTCTTGTACGCATTTTGGGGTCATTACACTCAGCTAGGGTGAATCCTGATAGAAATACATCCTCTGCACCATGTTCAATCTCAAGAACTGGTGTAGAAATCTCTGGCGGTAAATGTATTGAAGAGTTCCCAAAAACTACTGCCACCCCCTCCAGTGGGGGTACTTCAGCATTTGGTGTAAGGTGGAAGAGACGGCCTTCACTTGGTGCAGCCACACCCGCCTGAGAAGTAGATTGAAGGTGGTTGGAACATCCAAGACATGGAACTCAATGTCCTGCTACCCTGGACCAACCTGAGTCTTGATCTGTACGGTCCCCATCACCTCCCCGCTGGTATTATCATAGGCCCGTATCACCCGGGTTATAGGCACGAAATCTGCGCGCTTCAACTCGATATCATATGTTGTTTTCGACGAACATACATTGATTGCATACCCCGTGTCGACCAACACCACTGATATCCACTTCTCTCTACACTCCACAGAGATGTAGAGTGGTTTGTTATGATCTGAGCCCTCGGACGGTAGTTCTTTGTCGGTGAAGGTCAAGGTCGGGGAAGCTCCTCCCGGGAAAACCAGCCCTACCAACTGTTCGGGTGTGGCATCAATTGAAAGTTTAGCCTTGTCCATGGCAGAAAGGATAGCTTGTCTGTGAACCCTCGAGGCCATAAGCAGTCCCCAATTGGAGATGTCTGCTTGAATCTTCTTTAGCTATTTCAGTACAGTCTCCTCCTCCAACTATTTTTCTTTCTGCCTCTCTACCTCTTTGTCCTTTCTGGACGCCTCCGGCTGGTCCAAGTGTGGGGGCTTGAAGTTCTGCCCCCAGGCTTCGTCAGTGTGGGCAAGACGTAAGTCATCGTCTTGCCACCACATCCCATCGGCAACCGACAGATAGCTGCCCGGTTCTGCTATAGCTATTCTTGGGCTCATAGCACATTATGTCTCCGCAGGGGCCTTGGCTTTTCTAGCCTTGTCGTCATTCGCGATTCTCTCTTGTTCAAAATGCCTCAACGTGTCTTTCTACTCTGTGTCCGCTGCACACAAACTGCCAAAGTCCTGAGCAAAATTCTTCGCACCAGTGCTCTCCGGCAATTCCTCCTAATTCTCGGCCATTCCGGCCACTGCAAATGTTCCCGTCTCTGACTGACCCTGTTCTGATTGAGGTGCCTCAACAACATCTGGCTCATCACTGAGCCACCCTGTGGCTTCTGTTGCTCCGTTCGCATCATACCAACCAAGCTGCACATTTCCCAAGTCCTGCTCATCAAAGAACTGTAGGTTGCTGATATCCTCCTCAAGGCTGGCTAGATCATCCAAGCTAGGACTCGGCCCATCTTCCCGGACAACATGTACCTCTGCCCCGGTTGGTAACTCCACCCTCGGCTTAGCCTAGTCTGTTGATGTGATATAACCACTCGAGTTGTACACAAAGCTCCCAAACCCCTCAGGCTCTGAATCAATGTTCCCATCTAGCTCCAAAGTCATCCCAGTTCTGTCTTCGACAGTCACCACCACTGGTTCTGGTTAGGTTTTGGAGATGCTTAACCTTCACAAGTCTGTGCTATCTGGGATGAACACCTCAGGCTTGGGTAGGTGGGAGGGTGTTATGTATATGCTTGGGTCATATGGAATGGCCGCGGCTTGAATTAGGATGATGTGTTTGGGTGATGGAGCTTGGTTATGTGGTGGGAGTGGGTTGGTGGTGACATTTGGTTTGTCAGGAGGTGCAATCACCTTGTTGTCAATGAGATCTTGAATCTCATGACGCAGTCTGAAGCACTGGTCGGTGTCGTGACCGTGCTGTTGGTGAAAGGCACAGTATTTGGCCGGGTTATGGGTTGGTGGGAGGTTATTTGGTAGTAGGCGCGGTTCCAGAGGCTTCAGATGCCCCTTTCTAATTAAAACCCCAAGGGCTTTGGACAAAGACATATACAGTGGGGTAAAAGTCCTCTAGCCCCTAGGTGGGTATTTTGCTGACTGTTGCAAGCTAGTTCCAGATGCACTAGTGAATGGTGTAGCTGGTTTTGGTGTGGTAGTGGTGATCATGCCCACATTGGAAGTCCTGGCAGCTGCAGCACTACTCATGCCTGCATTCGAATTGTGGGTAAATGGCCTCTTGGGCTGTTCCTTCTCCTGGTCGATCAGACCCTGCTTCCTGGCATCCTCAATTTATACCCCAATCTCGTGTAAATCAGCAAAGGTGGGAAGGGGTAAGACAATCATTTTTTGCATTAGCATGGGTTGGAGGTTGCACACAACCATCCTTATTTGATGTTTCTCGATCGGCCTGGTGGTCATCATAGAAGCTTTGGCCCTCCAACGGGTTACAACGTTAGAGAAGCCCTCTTTCGGCTCTTGCCTGGTTGTCTCGAGATCACGGGTCGTGACCTCAATTTGGGTGTTGTATAAATACTGGGCAATAAAGGCCTCAGCCATTTCCTCCCAACTCCTCTTGACAGAATCTTTCAACTTCGCATACCAGATGGCCGCAACACCTGATAGGGTCTGGCCGAAGAGGGAAAGGTTTTGCAGTCTGGAGAGGCCCATTGGCCTTAGGATATCCGAGAACAACCGCAGATGTACCATGGGGTCCCCAGAACCGTCAAAACGGTCTATATGTGGCATCTTGAACTGGTTCGGCAATGTCACTGCCGAATCGGTGTATCCATCCTCTATGTCTAGAATGGAATTGACCCCCTGGGCTCGTTTGAACAGTTTTTCAAGCTTACTCACTTTCAGTGCTGTTAGATCCACCTCAAATTCAAACGTTGTGTCCACTGGATTAGCTAGTGCTTTAGACAGTTGAGGTAGGATTCAGGGTGGAACTGGCCCTGTTGGGACGTCCGTATTTTCCAGGACGTATGCTGTCTCCCCGGGTGTTGGAACCCTAGGTGGGGGTGGGGGTGGGTTCGAAGCAGATGCTCTGGCTTGTAGTGGTTGCTGCTATTGCTGAAGCCTGGCAATTAATTATGCCTGTTGGGCTACAACTTCTGCCTGACGTGCAATAACTTCCGCCTGACGTGTAGTAACTTCCGCCTGGTGGGTAGCATCCCACTGCATGGCTTGCATGGTCTCTTGGAGCAGACGCGTCGTGTCCTCCATACCGACCATAAGGCGCTGATCTGACTGAACAACAGGTGTATATCCTCTCTCTGAGGTAGAACCAGGTATCTCAACCCAACTGCACACAGGTGAAGTTGATAATGACCGCTGATCTGGTGGCCTCTGTACCGATGACCTATGCCTGGATGACCTCCGTCTAGTAACCGGTGGCAACGAAACAAACACTGGTCATCCGTCGACTAGATCCTCAAATCGATGAACTCTCCCAATCCGGCTCCAAAGTGCTCGGGGGCTATCTACCTCTTTAGAAGCAATTGTGTTATACTACCTTGCGAAAAGATAAATAAAGCAAAATAAGGAAACAACAAGAAGAAAAACGGGCAGCATTTCGGCTTAAATAAAGACAACACATAGTTGACATTGTAAGCTGAACACACTGTTCTCAACACTGATCACTGCCCCCAAATCACTGCCTCAAACCTGATACCCCAAATACTGATGTCCTTAGACTGATACCCAGACTTGCAAACTGATACATACAACTTGTAGAGATGCACTCCGATCGCACATATCAAGGGTTTTCCTGTCCTATTTTGTTAGGAGCTAGGGTTTCACTATGCACACAACAGTTTCAAACAGCCTACAATCGGGTACGCAACCTGTCCTAGTTTGGAATGGTCTTTATGGCTTCCGATATGCAACTAGGTCGAATGGTCAAAAGGGTGCCCCGGTAAAAATCGTGGTTTGTGTTCCCATCGTGGCAGAGCCCGGAACCGGTCAGCCATATGGCATGCTTTTCCAAGCAAGCCTCTGGCAAACCGTTCAGGAATAGCAGATTGCGAACACGGTGTCCTAGGCAGACCAATGGAAATGTAATGCAAAGAAACATATAAGTGTAGATAAAACAACATATCATGAGTTCAAGTCAAGTTCTCTAAATCCCCAGCGAAGTCGCCAGAAACTGTAGACCGCCCGAACTCGCTCCGAATGCCCCTCCTTTAGAGATGGCACGGATGGTGTTCTAGCTACTCCAGTTCGGACTCCTATCATGGTTTTGAATCTAATCTCACAAAGTGCAATGTAAGACTGATAAATCACCAAAGAGTCCAAATCCGGCAAATCATTTTCGAAAATCAATTTTAATAAAAAAGCGCCAAACATGGACTGCTTTGCCAGATTTTAGAGTTGCCACCTAAATATTTTATTTTGGGAAATTTAGAAAATCCAGACTCGTGCCTAAGGCCACGTGTCCGTCATCACCAAAGTTGCCTCGGCTAGAGAACTTCGGTATGAGTGGGGAAGGTCCTGAAATGAGCACCCCCGCTCGCCTGATCAAAGATCGGCCTCTACTAACAAGATATGTTGTTTTTATAAACACATGTGTTCTTATTCCGGTTATTAATCTAGAATTACTATATGATGCGCACATCATACAAGTATAGACTAAATCACTTAATTTGGAACAAAATATCTCATGTTTGTTTTTTGAAAATGGTTT